GTCTCTCTCTCTCTCTCTCTCTCTCTCTCTCTCTCTCTCTCTCTCTCTCTCTCTCTCTCTCTCTCTCTCTCTCTCTCTCTCTCTCTCTCTCTCTCTCTCTCTCTCTCTCTCTCTCTCTCTTCCTCTCTATATCTCTCATTCTCTGTTCCCCCAATTTTTCTTCCTTTGATGTTCTCTGTTTTTTATGCTTTCTTGTTGTATAGAGTTTTGATGGAATTCATCAATGGTTTTTCAATCGTTTTACTACAGAGTTTTAACTTAGCAATTTTCTTTCATGTTGCACAATTGATGTTCGAATTAAAGTTGTCAATCAACAAATTTTGAAGGTGTTTGATTCTCCACCATTGACAGCCATTAAAATGCTTTGAAGCTTTGAATTCGAATTTGGGTTTTAAAAATTATTATTTGTTTGGATTGGGTGTTGTGGAAAACAATTGAATATTCTTTGGAGTTTATATCTCAATTTTGAGGGTGTTTAGTGAAGATTAGACTTGATTTTGATCGAATTTCAGATTGAAAATCGAAGAAGAAGAAGAAGAAGAAGAAGAAGAAGAAGAAAAAGAAGAAGAAGAAGAAGAAGAAGAAGAAGAACACATGACATACAATATACACATGAAATTGTATTAAAATGTAAATTGTATTTAAGTTGTATTATGTTGTAGTTATACTATTTTTTATTTATTTGAATATTTTATGAATGTTGAAAAATAGTTGTATAATGTATGAATCGTTGTAAGAAATTTGTATTTAAGTTATAAATACTTTCTTTTTACATAAAGTTGTTGATATGTATCAAAATTGTATTAAGAGAGAAAGTTTTGATTGGGATTTTAGAGAGAAAGAAGAACACACCACATACAAAATATATACAAATCAGACACAAAATACATACAAAAGACATATTGTATAAAATTTATATGAAAATTGTATTTAAGTTGTATAATGTTGTAGATGTATTTAACTGGGTAAAAATAATATATGAAAGTTGTAGATAAGTTATAAATATGTTGTATAAAATTTATTTTTAGTTTATATATTGTTGTAGGTGTATCAAATTTGTACGAAATTTATTTTAATTTGTAGATGTATCAAATTTGTACGAAATTTATTTAATTTGTAGATGTATCAAATTTGTACGAAATTTAATTCTTTCTCACCGAAAGAATTAAATTTACGAGCACCATATTAATACTCCTACTTAATAGTACTAGTTAAAAGTCCTAATTCTTAAAAAAAAGAATTAGTTCTGTCACCCTAATTAATAGTGATAAAAAGAATTAATTTGAGAGATTAAGCTTTCTTTCTCTTGGCCATTGTTGCCATCTCTATGCAGCAGGAATTAAAATGATTTGTTGGGCGAATAAAGTGAATCGGCCAAGAATTAATCTGCTATTCAAAACTTAGAGGTTTTCAATCTCTCTTGTATTTGTATATATGGTAACGTTTTTTTTTGTTAACCTTTTACGCTTATAGATTGAGGAGAGGAGAGAAAATAGGAAAATGATTAACTAAATCCCTTAATTTAAAACACTAATAATGGATAGTACATGGAGAAAGGGGGCAGAAAATAGGAAAAGAGAAGAGGAGAGAAAAAAGGAAAATGGTATACTTTAATCCCCTAATTTAAAGCACCAATAATGGATTGTATATAAGTTGTAAGCAAACCTTATTTAGGGCGAGTAATTTTCAAAACTGAGACAATTTTCATAATAAGGTTTCATATAGTGTATATGCAAGAAAAAATCCCATCTAATTTTTTTTACTTTTTGCATCAATATTAATCAAGATTCAACTAATAGTTAGTCAACTATATTTAAATCCTTAGCTTAATGGCATTATATCCATATATTAGTCAGTTAACACGCGCCACGTGGCACCACGTCAGCATTTTACCCTTCCCTCCGCGCCTTAACTTAAAAAGGTGAAAAAACAGCGAAAGATCCAAAGTAGCAATCAGCTCCAGTGTGTTCTGACAAATGCAGTCACCGCCGTCTCTTCTGAATTCCTCATTTCTTCATCATTTTTCAATATTATACTACCATCTCCTTCTCGAAGTTTCTCTCTCAAACTTACGTATACGTACATGTACGTATGACCAAAGGTGAAGTCTTTCTGTGTGTGAAAATTGAGGGATGTATGGGAAGCGGAAGAAGCTAAGGCCTCGACTTGACCGGACAAACGCCCTAAGGAACGTCGATTACGACGCTTCACAGTCGACGCCGTCATCGTTCGAAGATCAGCCTACTCATCGGACTCGGTCGCTTGACCTTTATCCTTTGACCGACTGTACAAGCTTCAGAATCGACGGTGTTGGCGGTGAATTCGACGTTATTTGCCGCTCTCTAGGGCTTTCAGGTCCTGAAGACTTTGCGATTCCTGTAGCTGCTTGGGAAGCTCGGAAACCTTGCTCCCGTTCTGACCGTTTGCGCAGCTCTCGTTTTGCTGATTCCCGCCGTGACTCTGATTATAAGCTCGAGACTTCAAATGAATCGAACCGCCGGTTAAATGATTCGCCGGAAAATGTGATTGAGGTTTCGTCTAGTGAATCGGAGGAAGAGACCAAACCGTGCTCTCACTCGGACCGTTTCAGCTCTGAGAATGAGTTTGAGAGCTCGGATGAGGTTTCTGATAGTGTTAGAAATGGTGTTAGGGTTACTGTTGGCGGTGAATTGAATCACGGTTTAAATTGTTCACCTGAAAATGGGATTAAGATTAGGATTAGTGAATTGGAGGATGATAATTTGCCTACGGATCTGAAATGTGGAATTAAGGGTTCTAGGTCACCAAGGCTGGCTCCTTCAGCATCGCCCGTGGACGATTTCACATCTGCTTGGGATTTTATCAAAAGTTTTGGCCCTGCAGATGATGAAGATATGGTTTCACCGTCACATGTTGAGAGCACTTCCGACGACATACTTGGAAACGAGCAAGTAGGAGACATTATTGCTAAGAATGAAGAGCGTAATGAGGATTTTGTAAGAAGTGCTTCACAAGTATCACAGACAAGCTCAGAGTCTTATGGGGAAGGTGTAAGAGATGCTGCTGAGGATGTTCCTCATTTAAGCTCTAAATCACAGAGTCATGGTTCCTACAGCCTGATATCAAATACAAGCTCCAAATCACCTAGTGGTGAATCCACTAGCGCTGTCTCAAATATAAGCTCTAAGTCACAGAGTGATGAATCCTATACATTGATTTTGAAGTCCGTATATTCTGTTTCTCCAAATGGTTCTCCCAGTATAAAATCTTGGCAAAAGGGAGATTTTCTTGGTAGTGGGTCATTTGGAACCGTGTATGAAGGCTTCACCGAGTAAGTGATTACATTTTTACGTCATTCCTTTTCCACACACATGAATAGCTATGGTGTATCTTAGAGCTAGGTTGCTTGCTTGTCCGCAATTAGAAGCTAAGTTTATTTGGACATATCTTTAACAATCTGTGCTATTAGACTCTTCTGGGGAAAACAACATTCTCAGGTGTATATTAGCTTCCTCGCCTATCTCTGATCAGAAAAGAATCATGATATAGTTCTTTATCATGATCTGACTAGAATTCATGATTAAAGATAAAGCCACGGGTTAGGGATGAGATTTTATTAGCAACAGTGTAATAAATTGCTTCATCCTTCTAAGACCTTACCAAGGGATACATGCTTTTAGATCTTGTAAGGTATAGAACTATCTACACTACCAACACTCCTTGTTTAGGCATCAACTCCAGCAATAATCAATAAATTCCGAAATCCTAAAGAGGATCGGAGATTTTGTACTATAAAATTCGTAAAGCAGAATATCTTTATTTTGGAAAAATAGTATACGGGAAGCGAGAAAACCTTTAGAAAACCATAGACCAGGAAAGCTGATAAAGGATTTATATGTTGATCAAATTTTAGCTATTTAGGCCTAAGGGTTGATTCTTTGACACATAGGAGAAGAATCCATATGATAGGTAAGACAAAGCTCCCTCACTCCAGCTGCTTATAGTAAAGCGAACATGCAAGTATCAGCTTGGGCATGCAAGCTATAATATTCATTCTTATTAAAATGGAATCTTTGTTCTGCCCTTTGTCCTCTTGTACTTTTTGATTCCTTGCATTTTCAGATGGACTGCGTCTCCTGCCATACATTCCTCTTTGTCATACATGGTTATATCTATATGTGTGTGTGTGTGTTTGGGCGGGGGGTGGTGGTGTTCTAAGACCGACAATTAGCTACTGTAAGATTGGACATCTATCTATCTCACCTTGCTCCTATACTCCTACAGAGCCGACAGAAGGAATGTTCTACTCATCTTATCTCTGTGTGTGTAATTTTGTATGCTTAGTGAATCTTCATATTCCTAACAAAACATCTAGTACAGACAATCTTCATTTTATAGAAAGTGATTTTCTTGGTTCAATGTGGTGCGACTGCAATAATGTTCTGAAGGTTGTACTGGTGGCAGGCTTACAAATTACTGGAAGGGCCTGCTAGCATATAACTTATAATATAGTCTTGTTAGTTAAACATGTTACCTTAGGTCTGAAAGGACATATTTCAACTCTAATCTCCTTTACTCCTGTAATAACTCATCTTTCTTCTAATAAGAAAAAAAAAATGATTTTTAAATTTCGTTCCTTATTCTTCTGCACACAGTGATGGATTCTTTTTTGCGGTCAAGGAAGTTTCGTTATTTGACCCAGGAAACCAGCAAAGCCTTTATCAATTGGAACAGGTATACTTCTGCATCTATTGGCCATTTCACTACATATCTTTTGGCTATTGTTTTTCCCATTCTCCTAGCACCTTGTTTGTTTGTGCAGGAGATATCTCTTCTAAGTCAGTTTCGACATAAAAATATAGTTCGCTATCATGGCACAGAGAAGGTATGCTATCATATCCGGATTATGCATCTTCTTCAGATTTACTTCCTTATTGCTGTGTAAGTTAGATTATAATGAAACTGTGCTTTACATGGACAAAGGTACTATTAGATGGTTTGAATAGAGAAACTCTTTTCTGCAGTTGTGTAGGTTAGTTGAGAGTTGGATCTTTTAACTGGTAACATCATCTGCTAAATGGAGATCTGATGACATTGATCTTGTAACGACCAACTTATGAGAAAATTATTCTTCTCATCTTTTACTTACAAATTCACAACGTTCTTCTATCTTCAGGACGAGAGCAAACTGTATATCTTTCTTGAGCTTGTTACAAAAGGTTCACTTGCAAGTGTCTACCGCAAGTATCGCTTGCGTGATTCCCATGTTTCAGATTACACCAGGCAAATTTTGAGTGGGTTGCATTATCTTCATTTCAGAAATGTGATTCACAGGTGATACATATGTTCTCTCTACATTGCTGATTTGTGGTGATTATGAGTAGTGACCAGTGTCTTGATTCTTTGCTGAGATGTGTGCATGTGAACTTATCTTTCCATCGCTAGAAGACCGTTTAGTCATCAATCGTCATACCATGTTTCTAAATAAAACGACTTAGGTCTGAGTGAATTGTCTGTGGGCATTTCTTGCTAGGAATATCTTGCTGTGATATACAGCATTATCCTGGTATCTTCATGTGAGCTGAAGTTGGCACAATATTATTTCGTCTACATCAAATCTATGAAGAAAGAATATCATAGGCGGGTCGATAAGTTTGTGCTCTTCTGCATTTACATTCTCGGGGCTTTAGGTTGTTCTGCTCTAGCACCAGAATGCTTACTCAAGAAACTAGAGGAAGAGCCGGAATTTCTTATCTTTCTTTGATATGATAGGACAAAAACGTCAGATGGATATGCCATTTTGTTGATCTGCTTGCCTAGCAGCTGGGTGCTCTTTTCCGAGAAATTAGATAGAGAAGGGAACTTCTTCTCTTTCTCAATATGGTAGAACAAGGACTGCAGATCAATATGCTCATGGAACTTTACCTATCAATAATAATAATAATAATAATAAATACATAAATAAATAATAAAAAATAAAAGAAGAAGAGGCTCATGGAGTGGTCTTGTCTATTGGAAACATCTTCTCTGCCTTCACAAGGTAGGAGTAAGGTTTGTGTACATACTACCCTCCCCAGGCCTCACTATGTGGGATTATACAGGGTATTTTTTTTTTTGTTGCTCATGGAGTGATCTTATTGGAGAACTTTTGGAAGGTGTATGCGATGTGATGTGCCTGTATGAGCGCATTTTAAATGTGGTCCTTGCAACTTACCAATAGCTTTGTTCCTCCATATCTGCAAAGAACTCTAATTAGGAGGTTGTCAAATAAGTGTTGCTACTGGCTTTGGTAAAAAGGATGATGATTGGGGGAAAGAGGATCTAATATATGTTAGCCTGTCATGTTTGTTTTGTACATATCAGAGTGGTCAAGAGACTTTTCTGTGAAAATAATATCTGTATGACTAGTGAGAATCTGGAAAGTTCAAGTACATGTTACATGATGTCATGGAAACTTCTTCTTTCTTAGACTTTTTCGTGAAATTGTTTCTAAGATTTCTATTTATGCTCTTCTTGAAGGGACATTAAGTGTGCCAATATTTTGGTGGATGTTAGTGGTTCTGTGAAGCTTGCAGATTTTGGACTGGCAAAGGTGAGATAGTTATGCAGTCTGTAGTCTTTTCCTTTAGTTGGTCTTATATCAATCAATCAACTAAGTCTTAATCTCGAACTAGTTGAGTCGGCTATATGAATTTCTCTTATTTGTTCCACTTCTATTCACCCTGTTTCATTTTGATACCTAGTTACTCTTCTCTTGAAACAAATTAAGACTTCTCTATTTCCTTCAGTCTTGTAACTTGCTAAATTTCTTTACAGGCAGCAAAATTGAATGACATCAAGTCTTGCAAAGGAACTGCATTCTGGATGGCCCCAGAGGTTTGTCTTCTGCATCAGAATTTCTTGAAACTTGGAAGTCTATGATTCCTACTACCCCCC